AGCGCCCCCGAGGGGCTACGGGATGGCCAGGCGTGTGAGGGAACCGGCTGGGGTGAGGCAGTATTCGGCATCTGGGCTCTGGGGTACATGTAAAATTTTATCAAGCAGTAGATTCAAGATCTGGGCATTTCACTGTAAGTTCTCTCTTTTAAACGAAAATGCACCCACAAGGGAAAGAGGAAGCAGGTGGTATCACAGAACAATTTGGGGTGAAAAAGGAAGTTCTGTGACAGACCTCAGGTTCCTCAGGAAGTAGGCTGTTCTGGTAACGGCTCGGAGCGGAAAGGATGCGGGGGGCCCAGACCTGAGAGGGGGACACGGGGAGCAGCGCCCGTGTGGCAGAAACGCCCCGAGGCCCCTGCAGCTGGATCGAGGCTGCAGGTGGGTGCCACCCAGGGCCCCTCGTCCACACCGAGATTCTAGGCGTCTTGTCTGCATATTAGCAGCCGGGTTGACGGCGGGAACTGTGACTGAGCACTGACTGTAGCAGAGAACAGTGTGAAGGCAAGACAATCCTAGCAGAGAACAGAGCCTCGCGGGAAGGGACAGCAAGGCCTTTGGAGGGCGGAGAAGGGACGGTGGAGATGGCACAGAGGATCAGGGCTGTGGTGGGCGAGGGGTCAGTTCTCAGGTCCTGAGGGTGAGGTGGTTCCAAGCGTAGGCCACGCTCAACGCCTGGAACTGTCCGGAGGCACTTCACCTGCAGGCGCTTCAGCGAAGCCGCTGGCTCAGGGGCACCCGAGCCAGCAGGGATGTGTCGCCACGGCACTGACCGGATAAAGCTTGCCCCATCGGCAAGCTGACTGCTGGGCGGTTTTCAAGCCAGATTTGACCCCAAAGCCTCTTCCTGCCGCACGCAGTGGGCACTCCCCTCAGGAGCCGTACGTCCTGTGCAGAGGATCCACGTGTGGGGACCAGAGTCATCTAGGGCGTGGTGCAGTGTTGGTTGCCAACCTCCAGGCAGTGGCCAGTAGCAACAGGGACAGGACAGTCCCAGTGGATGGCGTGTGCGTCAGGGGGACAGCGCATGGAGGTGGCAGGAGAGAAATCCAGATCCTGCTGCCTGGTGCCAAGATGCGTGGGAAAACGAGTGGCCGCTGCTCAAGTGTGTCTCGAAGTGGTGTCTTCAGGGGGGAAACCGGGTTTCAGTTTCAGGGGATGTCCATTCGGAGAGTCAGCAAGGGCGGGTGCACGGGGGAGGCCGGGGAGAGGCTCGGCGCAGCGGCTGAGCTCACAGGCGGAGGAAGGGCAGGCGCCATCGGGCCCCACTGCGCTGCACCAGAGGCCTGTCGATAACTATCACACAACGGGCCCCTAAGCACAGCCTCTGCTGAAGCCCCCCGCCTTCCTCGATACTCCACGGAGCTGCACCTGGGCAAACCGGGCCAGGCTCAGCAGCAGCTGCCGGTCACCAGCAGCGCTGTCATCAGCACTGTCTCACAGATGACACCGAGCCCAGGGCTGAGAGTCACTTGGCTAACATCAGTGCCACAGGCAGGATTTGGGAGCAGGTGTATCTGGCATCAGAGTTTGAATCTTTCTTGACTGTTAACTCACGACCAAATTTTTATATGTAAGCTTCAAAATTAATTGTGAAATGTGACTCTTAATGGACTCTGACCGAAGATGAATAAACTCTTGCAGACTTTGGAGAATGACGAGACGTTGCAGTCGGACACTTCAGATGTGCATTAAAAAATGAGGACCTCGCCCCTGAGGGTGTGCCGCAGTGACAGCACTGGCAGATGGTGACGTGATTCTAACTCACAGGACAGACAATGAGGAAAAGAAAAGGCAAAGACCCGAGACTACAATCTCCTCTCAAAATGACATCTGCACAAACACCTTATCAGGCGTCTTCCACCACTGGTCCAGAATCTGTTAGCTCCAATGAGACTCTCTGGTCACTCCCGCAAGGACAGAAGTCTGCTTGGGCAGAAGCGACGCTCCTTAGGAAACCGCTATCACTGGAAGAAAAACCTTTCTTTGGGACACACCAGCACAGAAAAAGGAACTCTTCCCCAGCGGCGCCGTGGACAGGCGCTCACGCGCGGTTCTTTAATCCTATAAACCTTCACTGAGCAAGACGGTATTACCTTCACTGACCTGGACCAAGGAAGCTAAAGATCAGGGAAGCTCAAGAACTTGTCTGAGGTCATGAGCTGACACATGACAGGGCCTGAACTTGAACTCAGATCTGTCTGTTCTAGTACCCCGCAGAGCCAAGTGGCTGTCCTTCACAGGAATGCACAGGTCCCCTTGAAGGCCAAGCTGCCCCGGTTCCTCCTTACTTGTTGGCCAACCCATGCCCTGCTCTCTTCCCAATCTTTAAAAAAAAAAGTTTATTTACTTATTTTTGGAGAGAAAGAAACATCAATGTGTGGTTACCTCTCATGCACCCCCTCCAGGGACCTGGCCCACCACCCAGGTATGCGCCCTGACTGGGAATGGAACTGGCGACTCTCTGGTTCGCAGGCTCCATCCCCTGAGCCACACCCGCCAGGGCCCTCCCCAGTGCTCTCCAACCACTGCTTCCTTCACACGTAGCCAAGTATCTACCACCTCTCTTCCCGACAGAAGGACCCACAACTTGTTATAAAACTTTGTTATAAAACATTTAATGTTAACCTACAATACAATGTAAACTTTTATGAAAAAAATTTAAAGTACACTGGATTTCTTCAGTCAGTTACATGGGGCTGTCCCGGTGCGGCCCGAGCCGGGGCACCGTGTCCTCGGCGGGTGGACTCCCCGCTGCCGTGCTCTGCACAAGTCCAAACCGCCGGCCGTGAGGTCGAGCTTCTTGTTCAAGCACCAGACACACACTCCCTGAACTGCACCCCGGGGGTTACCACTGCTCCCTTTTGTCATGTTCTGAAATTCTTTCCTTGGCCTTGGCACCATTAGCTATTTTCACGCTAACTGCTGTTTTTTAAAGAGAAAAACAGTCTCCTCTGGTCCCCTCTTACTCAAATCGCACACTGGAGGCAAGCACAGAAGAAGAAGCATTTGCTGCAGGAGACTCTGCAGAAGCAGAAAACACAAGGGCCCCCACTGAGGCTGCAAAAACCCAACCAGCCCACTTGGCACTCTGCTCAGTCGTTTCCCGCAGTCATGCAGCTGAGTCTACAACTTCAGTCTCAGGAGCAGACGGAAACGTACAACAAGCGTTTCCCCTTAACCGACGACTTGCACTTGGAAACAACAGCTGTTGTCACCTGGAGGTGACTTGGAAACAATGCTTGCAGATCACTGCCCCCCAGCATCCCTTCCTTGGCAGGTGCCACCAGGGCCCAGAGGCTCCGGGAGCAACCCATGGATTGTACTGGCACTGGTGGCACGTGCATCTTCTGGGGCGGGGGGCAGGGGGCAGGAGCTGGCACCGGCAGCAGCTCTGGGGGTCAGCAGGGACAGGACTGGGTCTGGGCTGTTTCAAGGGCTAGGGAAGGAGCATGTGCTTCGGAAGCCTCTGGAAACCTAAAGGTGTAGGTTGTCCCAAGAGTTGTACTGACAAAAACAGAACCTTTTTAATATTCTGGTGTCTGACTTCCTTCACTGAACAAGTTAGCAAAAGGCAAGAGGCGTAAAGTGCACATTGTGGAGCAGGATGCAGGCTGAACTATTAAGGAAAACAATTTACAACTTCCCAGGCAGGTATGGGCAAGACAGCACTCCCAGCGGGCGGAGGTCCTGCCTTCCCTCCTGGGACTGCTAAGAAGGGCCTGAGGCCACGGGGTGGGGGTGGGGGGCCTCTGCGTGCTGGGGAAACATTCTGCTTTGCATAGTTCTCAGCAGGGAGCAGACCTCACACAAGGTCAAGTGGAGAACGCGGCCTACACTGGCATTCACTCCAGACACAAGCTAGGACAGCAGACAGGAAGATCCCGCTCCTGTGGCCTCGAGACAACCAGAAACAAAGTGGAATAACTGGCTCCCGGGAGAACTCAATTCTTCTAGAACCAGTGTTCCAGAAACCCACACCAAAGCCACTGGGAAATTCTGAGGCTCCTCATGTGACACCCACCCAGCTCGTGCCCCTGGGAGTGTCCCCACCCACTGAAGCAGCCAGAACAGCAGCCAAGGCAGTGCCACCTGCGAGCGGGCCTCGGGTTTAGCTGAGCAACAGAGAAAGCCTTGGGACACTGGGAATCCAAGAAGCTACCTTTCCTCTTGAAACGCTCTGCTTGGCCTTGTGGCACGCCAGGACCACCAACTTCGGGGGGTCTGAACATCACAAGTCTGCAGCAGTCCGGCCACAGGGCACTTTGGGACACCTGTCAGCTCACACTGGTGTCCGTTAACACACGGCCTGGCCCACGTGCCCATCGCCATGAACTCAACCACTAACGGGACTCCCAAATTCAAAACCCCTGACACTGCAGTACAGCAGGAGGAAGAGGGTGAGACCGCCTCCAGCAGGGGCAACACCAGACACTGAAATCTCCTGGACCGTTCACGGACCTAAGAGTTCTGCTAGGCCCCCCTCCAGGCCTCTAGTCTCTCTACCCTGAGCACACGCCCCGCACCGCACTGCACCGCACCACTTGCCCGAGGAGACGGGCAGGCACTCGCACGGGGGTCGGGGCTGCTGGTTCCACCCCGGCCCCACACTGGGCACTTCAGGGGAGCCCAGGGCTGGCCAGAGCGGCACGCACAAGTCACAGGAGGAAGGAAGACCTGCCACCCTTTGGTTCAGACCCTGTGTGACCACCCAGCACAAATCCCAAGGAACAGCAGCAGTCGCGTGTACAGTGAGTGTGCGCATTCACACTGCACACGTGGGTGCACCTGCACACAGCCTTTGCCGGGCTGCTAACCCAGACTTCCTCCCCAACGCTCCAAGTGGGGTGCACTGGTGACAAGGAGGGAGAGCAAGAGTTGGACCAAAAAGAACGCCCTCTCCGAGAACTCGAGGGGCAACGGCAGAAATAAACACACCGGCCCAGGCACCTGTATCACACTCTTGTGGGCTAAGGAGCCAAGGGCATGAAATGATGTCATGGGTTTAAGAATTGGCTCTTTATCAAGTAAAGGAAGAAAATACACCTATGTCAGCCTCATTCCTTTGGTCATTACAAAGCAACAGAAAACAATGTAAAAGTTATTCATAAGTTGTGGGAAGTTCATGGAACACCTCTGCTCCGCACCTTCTCTTCCCTGGAGCCCGGAGAAGCAAGTCCTTAGGAGATGCTGCAGTAGCTGGTTGATGGAGGTTTGTCACTTTTATTTTCCATAAAAGCAAGAATGAGTGAGAACCAGTGGAACGTCCCCTTCCCCGCTGGGACGCCGGCGGGGCTGGCGGTGGAGCCTTCTCCCAGGGGCAGGTGTGCGGTGCAGAGGCAGGAGGGGGAGGTGGGCGCCGGCTGGAGCGCTCGTCGCTGCCCTCGCGGTTTCTGATCCTTCCTTTAGAATGCAGCAGTCATTAAAAAAAATATTGTATTTAATAATAATAATATCTCTTGTCCCCCCCATTCTTTTAGGAGTTGAGGTGGGAGGGACAGGAAGAGAAAGTGTCACTCGTCTGTGAGGTCCTGAACAAAGAGGACTTCTGTGTGGCTGAGTCCGGCCTCCTGCAGCGTGGGGGGGTTGGGCCGCTCCTCCGAAGGGATGCAGGGCAGCACCCGCCGCGGGAAGTTGGCTTCGATCTGAAACTTTTCAGGGCTTTCTTTCAAGGAGAATAAGAAGTCGTGGATGACCTGTGGAGGCCACACAGAAAACAAAGGGCAGTGAAAAAATGCTAGACAGGCATGCATGCAACGCCACGCCACCCAACACCCTGCAGACAAGCAGCCGTCGTGGAGGAGACTTGCGGGGCAGCTCTTTTCAGAGATCTATTTAGTCCTGCCCTGAACGGGTGTGTCTGTTTCCCCGTCCATAACCGGTCTCGTACAAAGCTAAAAACCTGCCCTCAGCAATAACCAGTTACAGAGAAGCACAGGACGCAGGGGCTTTCCCTTTCTCCCACCCAGCCAGGTGCCCGGACTGCCGTCCCACGTGGCCGCACCCCAGCCCTGCGAGGCAGGCTCTGTAACAGATCCAACAGCCACTCAGGCCCAGTTTGAGTCTCGCCAGCTGCCTCTCATAGCAAAGCAATGCAGTTTAGAGTGTTGCACTGAGTTGCCACATCTCTCTGCTTCAGGCTGCAGCAAACCCGCAGTCTCTCCCGACTTTCTTTCCCGACTTGACACTTGTGAAGGCTGCAGGCGCTATTCCACCACGTTTCAGCCTCAGTGGCACGTCTTCGGCAGAGGCGTTATGGAAGTGGCGTGCGCTCCCTCAGTGTACCCTACGCAGGGGATGCAGGGGACCGGTTACCTGGGTCCATGATCTACGCTGACCACTTCAAAGTGGAGGCTATTCTGTCCCCTTTGTCACTGACGAGGACTTTGCAGGAAGGCACTTTGAAACTATGGAGACTGCTCCTCCAACTTCCTAGTTACTTCTATACTGCTGAGTCACGGTTTCCTGTTCTGTTAGGTAGGTTGTCACGTTGCACTCATTGTTTTAATGTTCAGATGGTTCCAGATGAGGTCGGAAGATGCCCACTCAAGCCAACTTCTGTGGCTTTCTGACACGTCTCCACTGCTCTCTAATCGGACATCTTCCGTTCCACGTTATCGGAGGGCCGATTAGACTTCTGTTCTACAGACAGGCTGTCCACCACCCTGGGGAAGACTGCAGCTCGCCCAGGCCTCTCCAGTTCCACACGGAGACGCACCAAGTGTGGCAGCAAGCCTCACTCGACTACCGGGCATCCTCATGCCCAGTACGCGATTGACTCCTGACCTTTTCCAGTGATCAGGGAAATAGCAGAATTTATTGCAGCTATAAATCTGGAAAATCAACTCTCAATATAGAGAGGAACTTCTCTTCAGTTATAAATACCAAAAATAAGTCAGCATTTGAGTTATGATGAGCCAGGCATGTGCTGAACATCTTATGCACGAACTTCCTCCCAACGTTGATCCCATTACAACAGAGCACTCATCACACCTGAGTCACAGACAGGACACCAGGGCTTACAGATCAGACAGACAAGCAACGCAGCACATCCAGGAGCTCCGGGAGAAGAATTCCACCCCTGTTCTGTGAGATAATTACTAACAGGAAGGGTGCCTGCTCCGAACCCTTCCTCGTGGAACAAGCTCTATTTAGCTGTGGATGCCAGATTTACAAGGAAGGCCCACAGAGTGGAGCTTCCCACGGCCGCCATGTGCAGAGAAGGAGGGTGACGGCAGCGTGCCAACTACGAGTGCTCTCGTGCTCAGACGCGCAACCCCAGCCCCTGGGTTGGTGGAGACAGAGCTCTCAGACACAGCGGTGGGCTCTGCTGGGAGCCTGTCGCCTCCTACACACTGTCTTTGTGGGACTTCTTGGTGAGGCACCTCTTAGCTGAGCTCAAACATGATGAAAGGAGCCCTTGCCAATGTGCAGTCGGCAGCTGAACGGAGGGCACCTACCCTCTTCTCAGCCCACCCCCCTTCCCCCCCAGCACCTCAGAGCAGCAGGCGCACCAACCACCCGCCAGCAACTCCTTGGAAGCCCCCAAGTCTACAGGCCGGACTTCACACCCATGGCCACGCCACTGCAGCGGTCCTTACTGTTAGCGACTGTGAGAAGTGGAACCGCCTCTCTACTCGAGAATCATTAGGTAATTTGAAAATGATCTTGACACTGTCAGGGTCATCAGGGGAAGGCTCAGGGGGCAAGCACTCCAACTTCCTTTCCTTTTCCTCCTGCAAATTCTGTGGAAACATAAAGCAAAAATGAGGCTGCGGCTCTGAAAGGGAAACAGGACACACAAACACCCTGCAGGTCATTGTGTGGTCCAAAAACAGTAACTAAGACACTAATGCTCTTGAGAGAAATGTGTTGGCAAGAATCAGGAACGAGCGAGTTCGAAGCACTGTCACTGCATCACACGCACTACTTATCGACTGCACTGGGGTAGCTCTCTGTTTGGAATAAAGGGAATGGCAGGACACTGCTCCGACCAGGTGCTAACACGTCACGAAGGAGACCGCGAATGCCATGCCGAGTGGGCCGACCCTGCTACTAAGAATGAAGAGTCAGAAATCGCTGCTGTGAATGAACAGCACTGTGAACTGTTGATTACCTAGACTTACTTTTCACGAAACGGACCACCTGTCTTGCCTTTTATTCACTGTTGTAATTTTTTTATTAAAACTTTAAAATAGTTTAACGAAAATGTAGTAAATACAGCCCTGGCTGGTGTGGCTCAGGCACCATCCTACAAACCGAAAGGTCACCAGACCAGTTCAGTTCTGGGGTGGGGCAAGTACCTGGGCTGCAGGTTCAGTCCCCAGTAGGGGCGCGTATGGAAGACAACAGTTGACGTTTCTAACATCACGGTTTCTCTCCCGGTGCCCCGTCAATAAAGATATCCTCGGGTGAGGGTTAGAAAAAAAAAAGGGAACAAAAGGACCTGTTTGGGAGTGGTCAGGAGTAGAGACAGGCGCATTACCCGCCGCCGCCTCTCCTCCGCCAGCTTCTGCTGCTTCACCTCCTCCTCCTCCCGCCGCTTCTGCTCGCGCTCCTCCCGCTTCTTTCTCTCCTTCTCCTGGTCGGCCCTGAGGGAGGCCAGGTAGGCCTCGTCCTGCTGCTGCCGCAGCACCTGGGTCTGGTTCCGCTCCTCCCTGCAGACAGACGGGAAGCACAGGAAAGAAGGGCGGTCTGAGTGAGCTCTGGGTTCCTCAGACCCAGAGGTCTGGGGTTTGGGGGCCAGGCAGTCCAGGCAGAGGAGCGGCCCCCACGCCCTGGAGGGCGGGCTCTGGAGTGGAGTGCGGCAGAGCTGGGCCCAGTCCTCTCTTCTCCCAGTTTAAGTGACAGAAAAGGAAATGGTAAGGTTTTCCTTCCCTTCTAACTTCGTTGTTGAAATCAAACTTTTTCCCAAATTCTAACTCTAACAAAAGAAACATTATTATTGTTATAGCATGATCATCAGATCATATTTTACAGAAAAATAACCCTTTGGGCTACTACATTTTTGTGTATGTTGCTTTCATAAAACCAAATGCCACCCACACCTTAGAAGATTTGAAAAATGTAAAAACTTCTTATTCAGAGTTCCACCAACCAGAGAAAAACTAACATTTTTCTGTATTTCCTATTTTTTTTCCAAAACAATTGTGTACAGCCCTGGCTGGCTGGGTGGATCGGGTGTTCTACAAACTGAAAGGTCGCTGGTTCGATTCCCAGTCAGGGCACATGCCTGGGTTGTGTACCTGGCCCTCTGTTGGGGGAGTGTGAGAGACAACCAACTGATGTTTCTCTCACACATCTCTCTCCCTCTTTCTCCCTCTCCTCCCCTCTCTCTAAAAATAAAATCTAAAAAAAAAATTATGTACGTAGGAGTGTATGCGCCTATATAGTTAATATCACTATTTTTTAAAGAGCTTACATTTTTTAAATTTCTATTTATTTAGTCCTGGCTGGTGTAGCTTAGCAGATTGAATGCGGGCGTGTAAACCAAAGGATTGCTGGTTTGATTCCCAGTCAGGGCACACGCCTGGGTTGTAGGCCAGGTCCCCCGTAGGGGGCACATGGAGGCAACAACACACTGATGTTTCTCTCCCTTTCTCCCTCCCTTCCCCCCTCTCTAAAAATAAATAAATAAAATTAAAAACAATCCTTTAAAATTTCTTCTATTTATTTGGGGGGGGGGGAAGGAGAGGGGAGAGACATCGATGTGGAAGAGAGACTGATCGGTTGCCTCTCACATGCCCCCAACTGGGAACCTGGTCTGCAACTCAGGCATGTGCCCTGACTGGGAATCGAACCAGCAACCTCTAGGTTTACGGGCTGGCACTCAATTCGCTGAGCCACACCACCAAGGCTATTTAATTTTTGTATTGTCTTTTTTTAATCTGCACCTAAGGATATGTTTATTGATTTGAGAGAGAGGGAGAAAGAGAAACATCGATGTGAGAGAGAAACGTCAGCTGCCTCCTGTAGGCGTCCCGTCTGGGGACTGCACTTGCAACCCAGGCATGTGCCCTGACTGGGAATTGAACCCGCAACCTTTCAGTTTACTGGACGATGCTCCAATCAACTGAGCCACACGACCTGGACATGTCTATGTAATTAAAAGAAAAGATAACAGAATGTTAAAAGTGGTGGTAGGATTATGGGTGATTTTAAATTTCTTTTCTATGAAATTTTCCACCATTAATGTACATTACTTACGTATTGGGGAGAAGAGTTACAATCATTCCTCAGTTTTTACATTTCAGCTCTTCTTATCAAGGCTCATTCTAAATGACTACACACACACGTAAACATATACATATATATATATTCATTCTTGAGCACAGAACCCTCTCTGTATTTTGATTCATATTGCTAAGAATGAGAGTCAGATGGAGTTATTTATGTCAAAATATATAAACATTTTAACACTAAATGGACAAGGGCTTTTAAAGTTGCCCAAGAGAGAAAAGCCATGACTGTGGAGCCCCAGGCCAGCTGGTCTCTCGGACAGAGAGGACGCCCCGTACCTTTCCAGGCGCTCGGACACCAGGTAGGTCTGGTTTGCATCCATGATAAACGTCAGCTGGTTAATGAGGTCGTCGGGCTGAATGAGGCCTTCCAGCCGCCCCACCACAGTCATCCTTCGGTCCTTCAGCATGATCATGGCCAGGAACGGGTAGGTGTTCTCCCGTAAAGCCTGTGAAACTGTCAGGAAAAGACCCGACCGGTCAAAGGCAGGACTTTGGGAAAAACAGGTCAAGTCTCTGACTTTCCACCACAAGCGAGAAAGAACTGCTTTGACCCCAGCTGGGACAGAGGGAGGTGTCATTTCTCCTCTGCCTCTTTTCTGATTAGTCTCTTAATCTTCTGTCACTGCTGCTGATCTTACACATCTGTGTCCATGCTCCCAGGTAATGACAATAGAACAGAAGGGGCTTTTCCAGTGGGGGGGCAGTTGTCATGATGGTGCTAGGGAAGGCCGTGGAGTTCAAGGACAATGTCTATTCGATGGGTAGGAAAGGTTCGGCAAGACTCTGGCCACCGCTCAGGACAGCCCTTCGCTGTGTAAGGGGCCTAGCCAACAGGGTACGAGGCCGTGAGTCTCAGCCTTATGCCGCTGGTACTGACCTCCAGCGCCACCCCCCCCCGCCCCCCGTCTTCTTCCGCTCTCATCCTGGCCCCACCTTTTACCAGGTCTTCTTTTAGCCAACAACAACAACAACAACAAAAAGAGCTAGCTTTTCGGTTTCAAAGGCATTTATTTAGAAAGCAGGTCTTCTCCCTGGCTGGTGTGGCTCAGTGGACTGAGCGCCAGCCTATCATGGGTTCAATTTACAGTCAGGGCACATGCATGGGTTGTGAACCAGGTCCCCAGTAGGGGGTGCACAAGAAGCAACCACACACTGATGTTTCCCTCTCTTTCTCCCTCCCTTCCCTTCTTTAAAAATAAATAAATAAATAAAAATTTTTTTAAAAAGCAGCCCTGGCTGGCACAGCTCAGTGGATTGCGCGTGGGCTTGCAAACTAAATGCTTGCAGTTCGATTCCCAGTCAGGGCACATGCCTGGGTTGCAGGCCAGTTCCCAGCAGGGGGCGCATGGGAGGCAACCATACATTGATATTTCTCTCCCTCTCTCCCCTTCCCCTCTAAAGCTAAATAAATAAAATCCTAAAAAAAAAGCAGGCCTTCTAAATAACCAAGACTTTACCACAACAAACTTTTACTTATGATTTTCCTAAAGTTTGAAAGAAGAGATTTTATAGATTTCTGTAAAAAATATCCTTAGTCTCTGCCCTGGCTGGTGTAGCTCAGTGGATTGAGCGCGGGCCTGCGAACCAGACAATCGCGGTTCAACTCCCAGTCGGGGCACATGCCTGGGTTGCAGGCCAGTTCCCAGCAGGGGACGCACGAAAGGCAACCATACATTGATGTTTCTCTCCCTCTCTCCTTCCCTTCCCCTCTAAAGATAAATAAATAAAATCTTAAAAAAATATATATATATCCTTAGTCTCCTTCTGTCCTCCACCCACCACCCCAAAGCCATATCGGAAGTGCAAGTGTAGTGCTGCAGGGACTAACTCACCACCAGGCAGAACCTCTGCCGCAGCTTTGGTTTTCGGGACCCAGCCCGGCCACTGGTGGCCTGGTATATACACTCGGAAGCTGCTGAGCAGAAGCAGCTGCAAAGTGACTGCGCTTCCCTCCCGGGGAGCCTTTGTGTCGCACACTGACTCTCACACTACACACCTCTGGGGAGAGTTATTATCGGCCAAGAGCCAAACTTTCTGAATTCCTATCAAGGTCTCAAACAACTGGGCGTTGTGCAAGAAGCTCCATTAAAATTACCGGTGGTGATAAACCTAATAAACCTTTAACAAACCTTCAGTAAAAGCCCATTAAGATGAAAGGCAAGCTGCTGGCCAGGATGGGGTGTTTCTGAAACTAAAACAGGCTCTGGCAGTGGTTAACTGTAAGGAATGAGCTAGGTTGGGGGCTGCGATGAACAAAGTGTGGGGATCACGAGGTCCAAGTCAGCAGCTGTACAGCACTCACGGGGTGCAGAGCACAGCACAGGGAGCACAGCCAATTTTAGTAACTGTACGGTGCCAGGTGGGACAAGACTGATTGGGGATCACAAGTCATGTGCATGTCTCACCACTGTGCTGCATACCTAAAACTAATATAATATTAAATGTCAACTATAAGTGAAAAAACATTTTTAATTACAAATAAATAGACAGACACAGAATGGGCCAGAGTCTGAAAGACCCGAGCTGGTCCCAGCACCTGCTAAGTGGTGACCTGGGGCCTGAACTCTCTGAGCCTGTTTCCCACGCCACCAAGTGGAGGCAGGACCACTGGGTGGCTCGGGACTGCGGAGAGGGCGAAAAGAGACAATGTGCAGATAGCAGCCAGCACTGTGTGCCGCAGACCCAGCATGAGGTAATTGGCAAGTCTTTCCAGATTATTCCAAAGACACCCCAACCACCACACCATGAGGAAGAGAGCCGCCACTTACCCCTGTATCCCTCGGGCTTGTTTGTGGAGCACGCCCAGAAGAGCATCCTGGTGTTGATGAGAGAGATCACTTCGGGGGCACAGAGGGTGTTGCTGCAGGGAGGGATGGAAAGGCCGTGAGCAGGGCCTGCTGACCTCGAACCCCCAACCGGCAAGGGAGGGACTGAGGCAGAGAGGCAGAGCGCGGCCGGCCCACTCACCGACAGAAGCCATCGGAGTCCTGGTGGTCGTCCCCGTGGAGGTAAACCAAGAGAAAGCGGAGCTCCCGCTTGGCGTCGTTAAGTGCCTGCAGGACACACAAGACCATAACGGTGACCACTGGGCGTTTAACTAGGCTAAGGGGCCTAACAGGCACATTGAGGAACAAAGGAGAAATGAGGAAAAATGGTGAGCCAGACACCAGAGTTGGGTCCCAGCTTCATACCCATGGGGCTCACCTCCCCGTCAAAGCCCAGAGCAGCACGCTTTAACGAGAACAGTTTAGTGTTGTTAGGGTTTAAATCATAGCAGGCACCTGAGAGCAGACAGCCTGACAGACAAAGGTCCCGACAGACCAGAGTCAGCTGTTCCCGGTGTAAAGGAAGATGGAAATGGGAGTGTCTGACCGCGTGAGAAAGGAGGCAGAGTTCTGCCACTTTACAGCTTTGACAGCCTCGTAAAGGAAAAGAAATGCTGTGAAGATGACCCAGGCCACACACCAAGCAGGGTGGAGGGATCTCCAAAGTCAAGGCTGTAGCGTCCAAGATCCTGTGTGCGCGCCTGCGTAATCCTGAGCCCCACTCCACTCCACTAAGACTTCCCGAATGGCCAACGGTGGCCTGCCTTCAGCATTGCAGCAAGAGAGGGCACGAGAGGTGCCTGTCCCATTCAGCTTCCCTGACCCTGAGCACAATGCCTGGCACACAGTAGGTGCTTCATACTTGTCGAGTGGGGTGGGAGCAGCCAGTGCGGGAGAGTGCCCGCGAGAAAAAGCAGACAGGAGAGAATCAAACCAAGAAGTGAGAGTGAGCATTTTTCTCTTTCTCTCGCTAGAGTCGGGAACCCTGGCAGCTACAGAATACAACCACCCCCTGGCCTGTGCCCTCAGCGTTATTCCTGCATTTTCTCCAACAAACCGGACACGTGCTCAACACCCAGAGAACCTTCACTTTCACCCCGAGATGACGAGTGAAAAGTCGGGTGGCGTGGGCTAATGAGACGCACTGCCCTGAGTCTACGGCCTGTGATGCCCTCAGTCAGCTATGAGGGTCAAAGGAGAGACTTCAGGCTCTGCCTTCAAGGGTCTTCCCGCCTGGCGCAGGGGAGGGGACACAAACGGCTGATACACGGGGAAGAACAGGACGTTACTGTAAGAGTAAAGTCAACGCTCTGAGAGCACAAAAGGGAAAGACTGCTGTTGTGAACTGCAAGGCAGGCCAGGGGGGGCACAGCAGTTAGGAAAGAGCGTACGGAGGGAGTGATGGGAGCTGCTGAAGGATGGGTAAGACTCCAACAAGCAGAAGTGGGAGGGCAGCACTGCAGGTGGAGGGCACGGCCGAAGCAAAGGCAGAGGGGAAAGTAGAGATCTGTTCAGGAAATGGCTTGGCTGGCACACCAGGCACTGGGGAGATGAGTGACACAGGGCAGATCTTGAAAGGAGGCGTGCAGAAAGGGCCTCTGTGCAGGCAGGGAAAAGCCACTGAGGGTTTCTCGGGCAAGAATAACGCGATCAGGGCGGGGCTACCCTCTCCCTGTGGACAGAGTCGTGTCAACAAAAGGCATCTCCGTCGTTTGTGGCACTGACCTGGCTGTACGTTCCCTGGTAGAAGACAGGGTGTGCCCTCCCATATTTCTCTTCAAAAGAGTGCATAAATGAAACAATGTCCCCAACGGGGTCAGTGACCCGGCTGCGAGGGTCGGGCCGTATAAAACGAAGAGCAAACCTGGGGAGGAAGGAATAAAGGTCACGTGAATCGGCTTACTGTAGTGCACACGGAGCGGCCCGTCTGCAGAGATCCCCGTCCCGGCATGGCAGCAGGGGGGCGGACCATCACACCTGCGAGGACAGCCCGGCTCGGAGCTGCCCAGCAGCAAGTGTTGCTCCATCTCCTATTCAAGAAGAATGTGAACTACGAGGGTTATCAGTTTCAACACTGGCCTAGACCAGTCCTGAGCGCTTTCTGCACAAACACTTAAGTCAGCAGACTCGGGAAGGTTAGACACAGTATCCGAAACGCTCCGAGGCCAAGCTGTGTTCCAGACTCTCTGGACCGACGCTGTCTAATATGGGAGATGAGGGGCTGCATGCATTTAGATTAATCAAATACAGCACAATGAAGAAGTCAGTCACTGCAGTCACACTAAGTGCCCAGCAGCCACACGTGGTTGCTGACTGCCACACTGGGGGTTCAGTGACAGAACGTTTCCTCCATCTCGGAAGTCCTGCTGGATGGTGCTGGCCAGGACAGAACTGTCTCTTGGTCTTCCTACTTGCCTCTCCCCCTCCATCTCCTGGAATTTTGAATTTTTAGGGCACTTGCCCAAACTATTCCAATTACTGATGGGAACTTGAGACCCAACTTGCAGACATGACTTACTTGCTCTTTCAAACGGCAAGTAAGTTCTGCTTGGGGCTGCACGGCCGGCAGGCCTGGGGCCCGGCAGCCACTGTCCCGTCGCTGTGCTGTGTGCACTGAGCATGCGCCTGGAGGATAGCTGCACTAGAATGAGCAGCACACGCCACGCGTACTTTCCCCCCAGGAGGACAAGCAACACCCACACACCTGAGGTGACTGAACTGTGACACAGGCCTTATCAAATCTCGAGCCAATCCCGACTCCCGTGCCCTCCAGCTCCCTGCGTGTATTCAACTTCACCTGGAATTTCTCCTGACTAACCAAATCAAACTGGTTGGCACAAACATTCCAGAGCAAATGAAAAGCAAATGCGAGAATCGGTGTAGGGGCAAATGAACAGCGAGGAACGGAGTCTAAACTGTGGATGGGGAGCGCACAGACAACGGGTCACAGAATGGTGCACCTGAAACTTACACGTCTTGTTAAGCACTGTCACCCCAACAGCTCTAATTACAAACGAAGCTGTGTATGTGGGTAGAAACCCTTTGGAAGATGAATGTTTGATAACCTTCTTTCAAGTTAGGCATTTTAAGGATTATCTTTCTAGCCTTTAAGTTTCATTTTGATGAATGAATGGTTAAGGCTTTAACTTTTTTGTTCCTCACTACAATGTATTCCCTGGCCTAAATAATTCAGGACAATCAACTTAAAAAACAAAACAAAAACTGGGGGTGGGGGGGTGACAGGTCAACTCAGTCTTCATGGGGATTTTGAAGGTTTTTATGTGTCCGTTCTTAAATGAAACAGGGAGGGAGAGAGGACCTACTAGTTAACTGCAGACAGGTCAGGACTCTGCTGAAGCAAGAAGCCGCTGAGCGAGCAGCTCCAGCCACACCCAGTGGCCGAGGCACGGGGTGCCGGTCTTACCCTGCGCTTCTGCAGCTGCTGGGCCCTTGCCTCTCAGGCCTCCGCTCCCTATAGCGAGGCAAAGGCCCTTCCACATCTGAGGGCGGTGCAGGCTGCCCTGTGGGCCAGGCCAGACCACAGATTTTAGCTGTATCTGTTGGCCTGGATTCTCATAAACATTTTAGGTCCCCTGAAAAGGGATCATCTACTACTCAGCTCTAGACCAGACACCCCAAGCCTGACGTGCCAGCAATCTGGAACCCTGGACAACTGACCCCTCTGCAGCGCCCAGTGCTGATCTCTCTACATGGCACATGAAGGAAGCGGGAAGGAAGGTGAAGGTGTGAAGCAGGGGTGTCTGTGCACATGGAAAGGCTCCACCATCAGCAGCCGTGGGTCACCTGGACAGAGGGGGTCATATAGCAACGTCCCCCTATATGGGAGGTGAAGTTCGTGAAAGAATCTGGGGAAAGAGAATAATCTCAGAATAGGAGACTCAGCTGGGATTATCAGCAGTCAGGTGGAGTTACAGACGGTTCAGGGTTGAGGTTACGAGGAGGGGGAGGCTCACAGATAATGGTGGTTAGAAAGCAAGGGTGTGAGGATCACCTAAATGCTGAGGTGACAAGAAAATGTAGGTAAACTGACTCTTGAAAATGACACGCAAGACTACTTTAAAACAATCTAATTTCACATTTGTGGCTTTGTCTGAATAATTTAAACCATGCCCATGCTATTTAAAAAGGCTGGTGAGGACGAGTCCTCGGCCCAGTGACAGACTGGTGAGTCACGCCGAGAGCACCTGCCCTGCTCTGCTTGCTTCGGCTGCACATCTACCTGCTGCTGCCACCACAGAAGCACAGAGGTACGTACCTAAATATATCCAGTATCGTGTAATAGGTGAACCGGAATGGCAGCATTATCAAGTAATAACCCCATCCGAGCAGCCCCTGAAATTGAAAAGCGAAGGTAAACACGATTCACTCATTCCCTATCGCCTTACAAAACGGCCAGTCCCACTTTTCACCCCGTTCTGCCCTTCCCCAGACGTCTCTCTCTGCAACGTCGTCCCCTCTTCCTGGCCAATGACCTGCCACCTTTCCTCTCATTTCCTCTGACACTGTCATATTTTTCTTTTATCACAGTTTTCGTACTAAATCTGCTTCAACATTTTTTCCTGCAGCTACTTGTATCAGTGGTCAAGCTCAACTGCAAGTTCTCCTCCAGAATCACAGTCTCCCCTTTTTTAGGCTTACACACGCAAATGCGGCACACAGAAACAGCAAGGAAGATCACCACTATTACTACCTTGGATATCTGTGTACAACTGAAAATTACATTTGCCACAGTTTTAAATCTCTATATAGCTGCTAATCTTAGTAATAACACTAACTATTGTTTTAACAACACTGACTACTGCTGCTGCTATTAACTAGTATACGTGGAGAGCTCCGCCCAGTACACAGAGCCTTCCTCACACATCACGCTGTGTTAACCTGGACCCTCCCAGTGTCGGGCAGGGAGCTCTGGAGCCTCAGGGCTGACCTCAGGGCTCCAAACACTGAGCCCAGCCGAAAACAAACTGGGAGCCCCTAGGCATATAGGGTGCACACAACTGCTACAGCAGTCTGCCCTTCCCCTTCAGAATACCCCCAACAACTCCTTAGAGACAACATTTAAAAACACTGTCAATTATTCCACGAAAAGATATCATGATGAAGGTGCAGAAAATGCTTCAAATAACTGGCAACGGATGCCCCCGCCCCCAAAATGGGTAGTTACTGTATCAATTCATTGAAGAATCAAGGAAAATAAACAACCCAACAAATCTACCAAGGCACCAGGTCTAGCTATACATTCTGAGTATTTCTTCCACTCCATCACACACAGATCAGTGTAACCAAGTGAACGGACTTAAGAATAAAAGGGGAAGTTCCCGTTAGGAAACAACTTGCCCTTGGCTGTGGTCTTGAGACCACGTAGCTGTAGATCCTGTGGTCGGCGGTGTTCACCTGCAGGGGTCGAGATGGAGGGGGGTTGAAAACACTGGGTACGCCCTCTTGCTCATTCAGTCTGTCCTGCACAGCAGCCTGGGAAGGGAAAAAAGAGCAGGAAGAATTCCAGTGATGATCCAATACACTAAGATGAGGAGATAAGGCAACTGTGCCCGGTGTTATAAAACAGGGGACTCGGGTAGGGCATCTTCTTGGGCCTTTAACTCGCTCTGGAGGGAGGCAATGTGTGGCCCCCGCTCCAGATTTCATGCCCAACAAGAGTGAAAGGGACTTTCCAGAGGCCCCATGGATACAGCATGCACACTGTCTGTTCAGACAGCATGTGTTTGTGGGTGGCTGGGACACGCGTGCTGCACTGGGGCGCCTGTAGAGAGCCACCCCCGAGAACATGATGCAGACCATGTCCCTGGGGCTGTGCCTGGAATGGCTGCCTGGTGCTGTCTGGTGCAGGGCTTGGCTTTGGGGCAGGGAAACGGCTGGACCCCCGCTCTACAATCTTGTTTCTGGGCCTGTTTGCTCAGGCGCAAAATGAAAAAATGTTATTTTTCAGGGTTGATTTGAAAATTTAATGAGATGACCATACATAAGGATCCTTCTTAATTCTACCCCTGAAAATGAATACTTGTCCCAGTGTACTAGAATGCTGGCCTGAGCCAAAGGCAAGTCTGGCCTTTGCTTTTGGCTTCTGGGAGGTGATCTATGTCCTACCTGATCAGACTGACTCTGATACTGAATCTTAGGGTGGAGACTTTGGATATGCAGTACCAGGCAACCTGGACCCAGAGCCAAATCACACAGGCACCCGAGCAAATCAGTGATGCCGATGTAATCGCACCCCAATGCAAACTCCGGACACTGGAGCCGAGGTGAGCTTCCCTGCCTGCCAGCACTCAATGAGCACTTCACACATTTGTGCCAGAAGGGTAACGTGTCCTCATGCCATGAGAGAGGAGCAAAAGACTGTGTTTAGAAGTCAAGGCTCTGCCATGTGTCTCTTTAGCCGACTCTAAGCCACATCTGTTCCCTGTAATGAACTGTAACTGCAAGTGTGACAGCTTTCGCTGAGCTCTTCTAGAGAGTCACCAACCCGAGAGGGCTGGGGGGCTCCCTGAACTTGCAGATGCCATCTGAGTGAGGGTGGTCTTTTGGAGGACTTCTGTGCCCTCTGACCTTGGCTTTAAACTTACAGTGTGGCTAACTCCAAGTAGTCCTACAGTTTGTTTTCGAGTATTAAGGAACAATCCAGTGGTGAAAAAAGTCTTCTGATAAATGGTACTGGGACAAATGTATATCCACAGGAAAAGGAATCAAGTTGAAGCCCTAAATGGCACTACAGCGGTACCTCGGTACTTGCATTAATTCGTTCTGGAGCTCACAACGAGTGCCCAAAACGACAAGCACCGAACTGTCCGCGAGCTGTGTGGGACTGGCACGTGGGCCTGTTTCATCTCGAGAGGGGCACCGAGTGCTGGAACCTATTTTTCTTGTCAAAATGTAACCCGTACAGGGTTGACGAATTCTTAAGTTGACCAGTACCAAAGTATGACTGCGTAAGAAATTAACTCAAAATATATCAAAGACCTAAATAAATATAAGGGCAGACACTAAACTCTTAAAAGAAAATATAAGTGACGATCTTCATGACCTTTGACTAGGCGATGTTTTCTTAGATGTCGCCCCAAAAAGAGAGCCAACAGAGGGAGAAGCAAACTGGACCTCAGAGACAAACACTGTCACGCACCGAAGGACACTGTCAAGACAGTCAAAAAATAACCCAGAAAATGGGAGAAAGTATTTACAGATCGTGAATCTGATATGGGTCTGGTGTCTAGAATACATAAAGAACTCTCACAACTGATCATCAAAGACGACCCAATTTTAAAATGGGAGAAGAACCAGAACAGTCATTTCTGCAAAGAAAATAAACAAATGACCAACAAGCAACATGAAAAGATGCTCTACATTGTCAGCCATCAGAAAAATGCAAATCCAACTCAGAAAATATACTTTAACACCCTCCACAAATACTGGTGAGGCTGTGAAAAAACTGGAATCCTCATGCACTACTGTTAGGAATGTAAACTAGTGTGGCCTCTTCGGAAACCGTCTGGCAGTTCTTCAAAAGCTTAAACAGTTACCATAACTCCCACACTAGCTACGTACCCACAAGAAATGAAAGCATATGTTTCTGTGAAGCAAAATGCCAGCACAGAAACTTGCAACATGACACTCACTGCAACACTGTTGATAATCACCTAAAGGGGGAACAATCAAATAAATGTCTATCCACTGAGGAAAGAACACAGATATATTCATACGAGGGAATATTACTTGGCAATAAAAAGATATGAAGTACTAATACATACTAGGACATGAATAAATCTTTTACTTATGTTTTTTGATACATCTTGAAAACAGTATGCCAAGTGAAATAAAGCAGACACAAAAGGACAGATACTCTCTGACTCCATGTACAAGAGGTATTTAAGAAAAGTTGTATCTTGCCCTGGCTGGTGTGACTCAGTGGACTGAGCACCAGCCTGTAAACCAAAGGGTCGCTGGTTCAAGTCCCAGTCAGGGCACATGCCTGGGTTGCAGGCCAGGTCCCCAGTAGGGGGCATGTGAGAGGTACCCACACATTGATGTTTCCCTCTGTCTCATCTTTCCCCTGTCTAAAAATAAATAAAATCCTAAAAAAAAAAATCGACACGAGCAACATCAGTTGGTTGTTTCCCATATGCACCCTAACCAGGGATCATACCCACAATGCTCTGGTGCACGGGATGGCACGCCAACCAACCACGCCACGCAGCCAGAGCAAAAGTCGACTTTTAAAATGTACTTTCAGGGATGGGAGTAAAAGACAGGAAACTACTTGAACAACAATTACAAAAATAAAATTTTAAAAATAAAGAAATCATGATAAAAATTCAGTCTTAAATGTAAGAAAGAGAATAATTAACCAAGTTGTAAAAAATCAAGAAGCTAAAAAAAGAACATAAACATACAAAAACATGAAAATATATTAAAGATAGATTTTAATAAGTAAAAATACAAAAAAGGAACTGATAAATATGAGGTTTTTTCCATTAAAAAAAAACCCAAATAAACAACAAAAAAAATAAACCAGTCTCCAGCAAGAGTTCTTCAAAAAAAGTAAAATGACCATTAAAACACAGAGGAGGGGTGACAGAGCAGGCAGGAAGAGACAGGCTACGATGTACAGTCGATCCTAAAGACCTTGGAAACCTCCAAAAGGAAAGTATTTTCTATGAAAGCTTATCAAGAAGATGGAGGAAACAGATTAGGAACGATGAGGGAACATGAAAAAGCAAAAGGCAGAAACGAGTGTTCGAATGCTTTCTTCCATATCTATGCTATTTACACATCTCAGCTCATTTTACCAAGTCACTTTATAAAGCCAGCATATGCCTGAAATGAAAATCTAACAGGAAAGTATCGGACAGAGCAACATCATTTCCTCTGCCTGCAACTTATTTCACCCCAAAGTTTTGCATTTAAGCATCAGCTCAAATATAACCTCCTCATGAAGTCCTGTAATTGACTACCCTATTTAAAATAACTTCCCAGACCCTGCTACACGTCTTACACCATCTTACTCACAGCATTTGTTACAAACTGAAACGATCTAGGGTTCAGATCTAGGGTTCAGTTCCACGTGAGAAAGGATTCAGTCTCATTCACTGATATGATGCCAGAGACTAAAATTTAATTGCTCAAACCACTAATGACTACTCAAATAACTAAATGTCACTTAGGAATTTATATATTTCCATAAATCTAGCACCCTATTCAAGCAACATACCATAACTGAAACAGTAATTTCAATAGAGATCAAAGGGTGTTTGGTAAAATTCAACATCCACTCTTAATATAAACTACTGATATGCCACCGATGAACGAACAGCGCACAGATATTTACTGGGCGCTTCCAAGGTACTAGTATCAGCTAATTTAGACGCAGAATGTACGCCAGTGAGTAAACCCAGAAAAGGAGGCCTCTGCCCCCGTGACGCTTGCTCTCCAGTGGGTCTCCCTCAGAACAACCTCCGTCACAGTGACAATGAGACACACAAGACGTTACAGTGAAGATAAGATGTTTGTTATCATCCTTACTGACTGACATTGCTCTGAAGATCTGGTCAGTCAATATTCAAATAAAAGAAAAGATCCATATGCTGGGGAAAAAATCGCCGTGTTTCAGATGACACAGTTACCTAGAAAATACAAACACACTAAAAAATATGTTTAAGAAAAGGTTTACATTAAGGTATCTGGTTAAGACGAAATGTGTGTGTGTGTGTGTGCGTGCACACATATACATAAGTTTCCTTAAAGAGCCATGTAAAAAAAAACCACAAAACACAACAGAGAGCGGCACTATATTGAGGAATTTGGTCCTTACCTTTTCCATGATTTTATTGCATGAATTCTGGTCATAAACCTTCACCTTTCTCATGTTTTCATTTTTATAGACTTAGCTGTAAATCTTAAAAATGAACCCACTGGGAGAAGAGACCCCAGGAGAAAACGCAGGTCTGGGAGCCGCACCAGACCTGGAGGGAACGCGCCGAGCGCCCCGCCTCACCTCGATGTTCCAGCTGTGCTGCTCCAGGGCGCGGCGGCACTGGTCCATGGACTCGATGCCCGTCAGGTCCTGCAAAGGACAGACACAGAGGGTCACTCGGGGAGAAGCCGGCGGTGCCCTGCAGGTGCTTTACCCTCTCGGAGTGCTCACGAGGACCCCTGGGAATGACACTGAGAAGGGCCAAGTGCAGCAAAGCCTCGCTGTCCAGAGCTCCTCCACCCAGTCCCAGAAGAGGTCATCCCACAGAACAAAAACACGAAAAGCCCTTGTCTTTCTAAAATTCCTTCTCTTTTAAAACTTCAAGGCTGATTAAGCCCTGGCTGGTGTAGCTCAGTGGGCTGAGCTCGGGCCTGTGAGCTAAGGGATCACGGTTCGATTCCGAGTCAGGGCACATGCCTGGGTTTCAGGCCAGTTCCCAGTGGGGGACACATGAGAGGCAACCACACATTGATATTTCTCTCCCTCTCCTTCCCTTCCCCTCTAAAGATAAATAAAGTCTTTTAAAAAAGGCTGATTAAAATTAATATTCTCTCAAATTCATGTTTAAAATTATAGATTTCTTCAACCTCCAGGTCCAGCAAAATATTCTTCAATGCTAAGCAACTGTTCTGTTTATAATACATAATGATATAACAATGCTGGTTTCCTGCAAAAACAGAGTGACTTTGACTTGCGTCGACCTTGGGGTGTCTGACCCAAGGCCGCATGCAGCCCAGGATGGCTATCAATGCAGCCCAACACAAAATCATAAATTTACTTTAAACCTTGTCTTTGCTCATCAGTTTTCATTAGTGTTTGTGTATTTAACGTATTGCCCAACACAACTCTTCTTCCAGTGCAGCCCAGAGACACGAAAGCTTGGACATCCTGTACCTTAGAATATGAACTGTGCATAACTTTTCATTAAAAAGTCTGCAATTCAGGTGCTTCCCTACAATAAGTATCTTCTCCACTCTTCTCCTTGGACTGTTCTCAGCTTTCACTTTGTATCTGACCCAAGCTCCTTCTCTGGCTCTTCGGGCGTCCCCACCAACCCAGGAAGTTCCCGAAGGACTGTCCCTGGTTTCTGACTCTCTCCGCCTCTGTCCCCGGCGATCTCATTTACTCCTCAGCCTTCAGCCACCCTCTCTACTCAGACGAGCCCTCACTTAATTCCTCGACCCACCATCTCTTCTGAAGTTTAGGAGCACTCCGACAGCCTATTCAATATTTCCACCAACTGTGGCGTCAGTACCTCAAGCGTATCATTAAAATCACTGTGTGTTAACACACAGCCACCTCCCCGAATACACAGGCTAAGACGACACCTGAGGTCTCAGCCTCAGCTCTGAGTGCCATCCCTCCAATTCCACACTTCAGCAGTGATCAAGTTCTGACCTTTTTTGTAGTACATCTGTAACCACATTTCCATCTCCACAGCTACCATCCTTTTTTTTTTTTTTAAGACTTTTACTTATTTATTTTTAGAGAGAGTAAAAGGAAGGGAGAAAGCGAGGGAAAGATACATCCAACAGCTGCCTCTCGCACGCCCCCTACTGGGGAACTGGCCCACAACCCAGCCATGCGTCCTGACTCGGAATTGAACCAGTGACGCTTTGGTTTGCAGGCCAGTGCTGAATCCACTGAGCCACACCAGGCAGGGCTAAAAGAAAACTTTTTTAAAAAGAGGTTATAAACACTGTAGGAGATATCAGGGTAATTGCACATCTTCAATATACTGAAATACTTAACCAAATTGGAAAGCAAAACCCTTGTGTGAGTCGTGAGTCAGGGTGAGCTGGGAGCCTGACCGAACAAGCCTGCTTCCAGTTGCTGCTGAGGAGTGTTCCAAACACACACTGGGAACACGTCGGTAAACGCTCGCTGACCCGGTATCCCGCATATCTGGGATAGAGATACAGTCCCTGCGCTCATTCAGTTTGCGTCCTACTGGGGAGAGACCGACCAAATAAACCACACACCCAGGAGCAGACACATGAACACAGTCGGAGGCTAAGGGATTCCTTTGAACTGGGTGCTCAAGGAAGGCCTCTCCGAGGAGAAAATGTTTCAGCAGAGGCCGAGATGATGAAAGACACAGGTCTGGACACTAGAAAACATGCAGGGAGAGCGTTTGAGACAGAAGGACAAAGACGCAAGCACACTAGATAAATGGATATACAGCACCATGCCTCTGTTAAAACCCACTGAACTTTATAGCAGAGTGAACCTTAAAGTCTATAGATTTTTTAAACCTTTCAGAAATTCATATGATCCCAGGCAGACCATTACGAAAGAACCTAATTGTATTACAAATATATGAGGGAACCGCACTGAAGGTGCTGGTGCTGGTAGGGTTGCTGGCCTGAGTAACCTGGGAAATGTGTGGGGTTCGCAAGAGTGCAAGCCAAAGAAGCACTGTTCTCTAGCTGTGAGTTTGTTTCCGATGGGTTAACCTGTAAGCTACTCTATCAGTCATCCATCTATCCAACTATGGGAACTGAGTGATTGAGTAAGCAGAGAGCGGCCAGTTTTCTCACTGTGGAAAGTTACAGGTAACCCACGAGAGGCTAGAATGATGCATGTGGTGATGGGTTAGGGCTGGAGACATCTCGATTAACACGTTAAGCTTAAAATAAATGGTTACATACAGAACTAGTGAGCTTAGTAACACACGTTAGGTCCTTGCTGCCAGCTGAGAGGGCTTATAAAACAACATGGACCTGCAGCAAATAAACGTAATGCCCACACCTCGGTTTGTAATACCACTGTCCAAAACAAGGAACCAGGTTCCTGGGAGAAGTGGCCACTTCTAGGGCTGGGGCAGGAACCAGACGAGACAAGTGTGGAGAACCTTGTAGCGCCAGAACTGCCCACAGGAACAGAGCAGTGGTGAATTATAATTGGAGCACAAAGAAACACCCGTGGGCCACACTGGTGCGACTTGACAGTGCGGAGACCTGGCGAACTAGCTCAGCCAAGCAATCAATCAACACCACAGGCACAAATCACACTGACGGCAGGGCCCTTCTTCAGGCGGAGGTAAAAGCACTTCACCTCTGTGGTCCTCCTCCCTGAAGCCATCACCTGGCCTAACCACGGGAAAAACGATGCACAAAACCCAACCACAGGGCCTTCTATGAAACACCTGACTGGCACCCCCAAAGCTGCCCAGGCTGGCGGGAACAAGGGAGCCTGAGGAGCCTTGACCACTAAATGGGACGTGGTGTCCCAGAACAGAGGAAGGCCACTAGACGACACAAAGGAAATCTGAACAAAGCATGGACCTCAGTTAATATTAACACATCGATATTGGCTCATGAACTGCGGCAAATGCACTGAACTAAAAACGCAGAATGTTAGTAAGACTGGCTGTAGGGTACATAGGGAGTCTGTGCACTACTTCTGCAGCTTTCCTATAAATCTGAATCTATTATAACATAAAGAGTTTATTTAAAAAGTAAACAAAAAAAATCAAGGGAGGGGAACTACTTCTGAGACAAGCCTGGCACGCTGCTGGACAAGGTCTGAGAAGTGGGCAGGGAGAAAAACCTACTGCCTGCAGGGAACCTGCCGCTGTCCACCCAGAACCCCGCCCTGAACGGTTTAATCAAGTTCTCTGAATGTGCAGCCCAGGCCCAGGCAAATTTCCTCCTGGGGGACAGGAAGTGACACCATTGTGAATTTGGGTTTTTTTTTGGGGGGGGGAGGTGCAAGTCTCAATTTTATTTGACCTTTTTTTAACCTTATTTTTATCTTTGCTGCTATGACAGTTATCATGACCATGAGGTTTTCTTTTCTTTCTTTCTTTTTTTTAAGTCACTCTGGTTCCTTTGCGAGGAATTAGCATGAAAAAGAGCAAGACACCAGCAAGGAGACTGTAGGAAAGAAAAAAGAGAAAAGAGTGGTGGTTGGGAACAGGGCGGGAGCAGTGAAGCGGGAAGACCAGCATAGATCTGGGGTGCACTCTGAAGGCAGGGCCAACAGGATCAGACGGCAATTTAAATACACAGGGGTGGAAGAGAAATATGAAGACGGACTCATTGGCTTGAGCAAATGGAATGAGAAAACCCACTGAAATAACTTTGCTTATCTCTGTGGGAAAACTCTGTTTCTGGTTAAGGAAAGTGCTGTAAAAGACGGGGCTGAGATGAGTGCATGATTATGTCATAAGGCTGAAGGCACTGAGTGGGCACCGGAGGCCCGACCTCAATGCTGGCCCGCAGGATGGCCAGTGATCCATTCAAATGGTCAAACGGAAATCGCGGCCCATCAGGCACTGTCTCCAACAGCTGTACTCTTGAGAGCTTGTTCAGAGGTTCTAGCAGGGGAGCGCAGCTGCTCTGTACCCCTAACTGAAGGCCGTCCTCTTTGATTGAGCTTCGACCGGGATGCGCATGGATAGGTGAGGGAAGAAGGGGACATCTGCCTAGCCGGCCCAATCAGCCGAATCAACCCTGGCATCAGAGGGGTGACAGATGTTGCAGCCTGATTGACCTCACATCCAAAACAGCTGTACTCTTAACTCTGATAGGGTTGGCTACCCAGGTTTTCTTTAATTTTTGTGTTTTTTAAAAAACCTAGTGTAAACTAGGTAAAGAAAGTTTGAATACTAGAGAAAGGGCAGAGAAGGGGGAGGTTTCCTTGTGATCTCAAACAGGGTCGGCCAAGATTTCATCTGTCTTCTCCCACCGATGGTTCTGGCAGGGCTAGGTGGGCTTCAGCATCACCCGAAACAACTTTGTTAGATTGTGCTCTGACCACTGTCATATCCATGTGCAAAAACTTAACAAAATTGAGCAATTTTTGTGCAGCTATTTTAATATTAATGGAAGACAATAAGCAACATTCTTGGCATATTATGCTTTCTTATTTCAAGAAAGGTAAAAACACAAAAAGATTTGCGCAGCGTGTGGAGGTGCTGGGACTGATCAAGCGTGTGAAGTGGTCTGCGAGGTTCCTGCTGCAGAGTTCTCACCGGATGGAGCTCCAGTCGGGCAGACCAGATGCAAAGGGCGATCAGGCCAAGACACTGAGGACAACTCACACTGTACTACGGGGAAGATGCTGCCACGTGCAGAAGACCCAAA